AGTTGATAATACTAAATTACCCTGTTATACTCTCCCACCGACGCAGCACCACAGGTTCTATAAAAACTTTCCCCTTTCATTCATTTGATTCTAGCTCAAGTTGGTTAAGTTCGAGTTATTCGAGTTGATACTTTTTGAAACTGTAAAACTATTTGCAGTTCTCTTTTGAAATTTTTTAAACGTTGAAAATCTGTTAAAAGCTAGGAAATCTACACTTCGTTTGTAATTGAACGGATCCGACCAAAGAACTAGCTGTTGATTATTTCAAAACTGACTTTTGAAGTCGGAAACTCATTTGAATTACAAATAATTTTCAAAATCAATATTCGTATTTGCGCTCAGTCGTGCACGTGGAAAGAGCTTATGAGTTCCAAGAAATCTAAGCGTCTTTTCTCGCTTCTTCGGAGTCAACAAACTTTTAATCTCGACCCTATTACCTTGGCTATTATCTGTTCTATCCAAGTCGGTGAGTGTTTCTTACACTGGATTAAGTGGTTGAGATACCGCCATGTCGAGGATTCACGCTTTTCACTTTCAAACGACGTTTCTTCAGGTAAATAACCTATCAAAATACAGTGCTCATATTTCTCGTTTTGGCCCTTGTAAAATTTATCTACAGAGTTAAGCTGTGGGAAGGAAGGGCATAATACACAAAAGCACGGTTTAAGACAAATCCTCTGTGGCAGCCGCCATGACAGTTCTTCTTGAACGTGACTTAGTGGCAGCGTGAGAAATTCGTACTTTATTGTTAGTGAACTTATCGCTCATTTACTTTTTTCTATATTCATTCCTGTACATAATTTCTCAACTAGATTTTATCATTACAGCGTTTTGACGAAAAGAGTATTTCAAACGTTATTAATATAGTGATCAAAAACCAAAGTTCCCTTTGAAATGAAGCTTTATTTCTCGTGGTGGCAAACATGGATATTAAATACCATGGCAACAGTTGGCTTTTCCATTTAGGTCTAAGGTGAAAGGCCAAAGCCAAAGTAAGCGAAGTTATTGTCAATTACAGATTTTCTTTTCGAACGCTTAGAGATTTGTTGTGATAAAATTCCCTACTGCCTTTGTTCATTAGAATAGGCACACTGAATTTGTCAGCAGAAAACGTGGTGACTCTAACCGGATAAGTTTTTCGATCCAGACGTTTACATTTATTATCTAAAATGACAAGTACTCAGGTATGTGTGTATTAAGGATAAATTTTTCGCTTTTTTTACCCATAGAGCAGTATCGAGAGGAAAATATAACATCGCGAAATCAAGAAAATCAAGGAAGGATGGAGTAACATGACAACTTTTAGCAAGGTTAGATAACCGGCTTTTAGTATATAAAGAAAAAAGAACTAGTTATCTTGGCCTATTCGTCTGCGCTGTACGATTTAACCTGGATTTAGCGAATGTTTACAAAGTAAGAAATGAATCAAGTTCTTCACTGTCTGATTTCTTGGATCTCTTTCTTATTGACGTGACTTTCAGTTGTTTCAGCAGTGTTCCTTCGAAGAATGAAATCTATACCATGAATACTATTTATCTGTTTCCCCAACGTCAAGGAAATACATGTGCCTTATTATCATTGTGCATGGTTTGGCTCTCCAACTAACCCACCAAGTTACCAAAGCAACGGTTTACTCCATCAAATTATCTTCAAGTTGTAAGATTAGGGAATAATTGTAAGAATGACATCGATCATCCAAATTTTCCTAGATTGTTTAAAGTTACTAAGTTGTTTAAGGTTACTCAAAATTAGTTGCCATCCGGGTGGGCACGTTTGCTGAACTGGATTATCAGCCTCCGCGTTACCACGGACGCCAAAACAAACTGGACTGTATTACTCAGCAGATAATATGCAGACTAAGGATGTGAGGCTTTAATTTTTTCTATTCCCACTAGGTTCTAGGAAAATTTATCTTGAATTTGAACAAGTGCAAATATTTTGGTTGTTGTGACGTGCCGGGAAGTCACTGATTTTACTTAATGATAAATAGGCAAAAAAGAGGAAAAGGAGTCACCAAGCTTATTCATGATCGGCACTCATAACAGATACTTGGCCGGGCATTTTCCATTTTTGCAATTAAGGCATTCTGTTGCTGTTGCATAATTTGCCAAGATGTCATGAGATCTTAAAGAAGGCGTTCCTTTGATGTCAAAGTTTGGTCAACCTACAGCCTGATTGTTATGTCCCTTGAGGCTAAACACAATTAAATATATAAATGTTTTTTCAAACTAAGTTATAGAATTTTTTTCTTTAGATCTCAGATAAATTGAGATTCTGATAACTTTTTCATATGCACTTATTACTTCCTACGATAAAGACCTTGAAGCTCAATTTTTGAATGTCTCATCCCTTGAGGCAAAAAAAAATATCAGCATGCTCCTACAGTTGTTATTAATAATTTTTTTTTCAGGATGCTTTATGAGATCTCTGATAAGGTTAATTGTCTAACAGTTTCTTACACAAATGAACCTTTTTTCAGATCAAACGGCTAAACCCTTGGAGCTTACGTATTATGAAGTTGTGTCTTAAACCAAATTAAAAGTTTCTACTCCGAAAGTAGATAGTTTTATGTCAAACTTCCTTCGTGTTTGTCAACAAATTATATTGAATTTTTTTTTAAATCATTCGATGTTGATCTTCTAGCCTTAGTACTAACACTAAACTCCAGAGGCTATAACCAAATTATAAATTAATTTTTGTTTATCAAATTGCTTCTCGAGTTTACAATCAACTGACATAAATTTTTTTTTTTGGGTCATTCCTACAGAAATCTTCGAGACTAGTCATACGAGTTCTTACGGCTAAAACGAATTGGAAAAGCATATTCCATGAATTGATGTTTGGTTCTCTTATTGCATCTTAGGTTTGTCAACGAAAGATAAATACGTAATTTCGTTCTAACATGATTCATTAAAAATATTCGAGCTTAATCGTTGTCTTTAACTCCCAGATCAAATTTGTAGTTCTCCTTACTGTCAACCATACAATTCTTACGATGTTAGTTCTGAGAATTTAGTATTGGATAAACTTATTATCCCCAAATTGATATATTTCTTTATTCTCATCACTTATATTGTATTGATTTTGTAAGGAGAAATTATATCTTGGTCACTAGTTGGAGTTAGAGGGTTAAAGAAGTTTGAGCTCTTGAGCTAGGTCACCATCAAATTGCTTCTAATGTTTTTCATTAGTTGCGATAGTTTACTTCTTTTTTTAAAGAGATTTCATAAAAACATTTATGACTAATTCTCTAAATTCTGAACCCTTGAGGCTGACACCAATGGAAAGAGCATGCTCAAAAATTGATAATCGTTTGTTTAAAGGTTATCCTCAATTCATATGGGACTTTTTTTTAGCGTGAATTAATGAAAATATTGGGGCATGATCATTTCAGTATAATGTCTGAGCTCTTGCGACGAAGACGAAATCGATGATGATGATGAGCTTGAGGTTACCATCAAATTGCTTCTAGTGTTTTTCATTAGCTGCGATACATTACTTCTTTTTTAAGAGATTTCATAAAAACATTTAAGACTAATTTTATAAATTCTGAACTCTTGAGGCTGACACCAATTGAAAGAGCATGCTCAAAAATTGATAATCGTTTGTTTAAAGTTTATCATCAATTCATATGGGACTTTTTCTTTTAGCGTGAATTAATGAAAATATTGAGGCATAATCATTTCAGTATTATGTCTGAGCTCTTGCGACGAAGACGAAATCGGAATACTATGCTTCAAAACTTGATGATTGTGTCAACTGATAACAACTTTTTGGAGTGACTCCAGAAACATCGTGGAGCCTAGTTATCAACTTTATGATCTTATGAGGTTGAAAGCAAATTGATATTTCTTGATTTGTCTGCAGAATTCATTCTTAAATCTCAATTTGGTTTTTAGTTTTTAATTAGGGAACATTGGGAGCATACGAGTCAGCTCTGGTGATTAGCCCTTTACATCCTAACATCAGTTTTCATATTCTCCATACTCTTCTCTATACATTTCTACAAGGACTAACAAGGAGAATTTGTTTAACAATCAAGAGCATCTTAAATCGTTGATCATTTCGATTATTCTCATGACCTTTATATTTGATTCAAGGGTGATCTGTAAGAAGAAATTAGAAGCCAATCTTAGGGGTTAAAGCGTTAAGAAAAAGAAAAGTACCATTTACTCATGAAAACAAGAAGTCTTTCTTTAGTGTACAAAATGAGAATTCGGTTTACGTGTTAGTTTTAATCCTCACGTACTTTACAGTCTTTTACTGCGTGAAATGTGGGTACACTCCGTCACGGGATTAAGGTTACTTTGTCCTGAAAAAGTATCATGAAACATTTTGTTTGCGAAGGGGATATTTGGATAGAAGAGTTAAGACGTTGAAAACAAATTTTTGAATCCGAGTTGCCCAGATTTGTTGGTTGTACTTATTAACCAAAGCAGCGAACTTCGAAGTGTTCACTGCCACCTTAAACCAAATTTACAAATGACGTTACGTAACAGTGGGAGGACACTAAGAGACTAAATAATCGCTCGGAGGACACCAAAGAAGAATTTTCGAAGAAATCAAGTTTGAAGTTTATTGATTCAAAGATTTTCAATGGGAACGAATTTATGATTCAATTCATAACTTTCAAAGTTATCATGTGAAGGTTATTAATTCACACATGTTCAAAAGGAACGAAAATATCTAAAAAACAATATAGTTTGATTTCATAAATTTTACCAAAGCTATTTGTCAACGAATAATATTAAAAAATACAATTTGGTAAATAAGTAATATGCAGCTTTCCCTGGTTAAAAACACTGCATAATCAAATTTTCCTCTTATTTTTATTCAAATATTTCCTGACACGCACGATTTTTTAAGCGCCAGAATTTATTTTAATGTTTTTATTTCTGTTTGTGGTGTTCGTAGGGCTCGGTGCGAAAGGGACCTTGCAAAAATTTTCTGATTCTGCTACTTTTTTAGGATTCCTCGAATAAAATTTAAAAAGAGGACTTTGGGAATGATCTGAGTTATGATTTAAGCAAGTAGAATCTAAATTTATGCAATTGTGGCTTGTGAATTCCTTCGTAATCTCCAGAGGAATGGCTGGCGAGCATAGACTAACTGATTGTTGCTTGGCTGAAGTTACAAACTCTCCGCTAAAAAATAAAATAGTTCAGTATTGATCGCTGAAAACAAGCAGACGAAAAGTTTAACTTGAAGCCATTTCGACGTCACCAGCTACAAAAAATGTCGTCAAATTTATCAGAATATTCTTCAGTTCACCAGATTTTACTTGTCTAACATAACCAAATACGTGCTTCTGCGACAAACCAACAATCTATTAGCAAGGTTTAAATTCCAGAGCAATTTCTAATTTGTGGTTTACTTTCATTTTTTTTTTTTTTGCAGGACCATAATGCTTCAAGCTCGAATCAATCAAGAAAGACTCTTATCCACGTCTGGGGCAAGATTCATTTGGAAGTACAAAACAGATTTATAGCACTTTTTCTAACAACAAATGGAAAGTTTTTTTTAAAGTTTCTTACTTGTTTTTTTGGCTATTTAATTAATGTTAGCTGTGGTTTAATATGAAAAACTTTCCCGCTAAAAGTACGCGTGATATATATATTCTGTAAGTAACATCTGTTCAAATGTGTCGAGTTTTCCCGCCAAAGACGGCGCTCAAAATACGCATGCGCCAATTTTTTTTTTTTTAAAATCGAGTTGTATTTATTAGATATAATCTTCCTACTGAACAAAAATTATCTTTCGTTTATTAAGATCTATCAGCAAGCAAGTCAATAAACGTTTTTGTATCATTTTTTATTTTCTATATATATGCTCAATAAACCACAAGTTTCATATTCAGCAAAGTATTTTGTTTGTTTTATAACTTATTTCGATTAAATTAATAAAAAAGAGCCAAGAAAAAAATTTCGTATATATACTAAGACTTTTGGCGGGAAATTTGTACCAGTTTGCACAGAGTTTCCCCTGGTAACTTTTCCGGCAAAAAATTTTAACAAGGCTTCCTATAAAAATTCCCGCCAAAATATAATTAAACAGCATCCTGTGCAAAAAGACTTGAAGAGTAATCACCAATTTTCTTTCACTCCTATAAAAAGTCAAATTATTCCAGAAAATACCAGTGTCTTTCATTTAATATTCTAACCAATTTTTTCATATGACTTCACTTCTTTGCACAAGATGATGTGTAAAAGTTCCGAACGAAAAAGCAGCATGGCACGTTATAGAGCAACTGATCAAATATATTTAATTTATCTCCAATATTGTGAACAATTTCCTAATTTAAAGTTTGTTTGCAAATCCAATAGTTTGTTTTGTAAGTTTATATCTTGCCGTGATGATTTTTTATTCGGAGTAAAAGATCTTTAAAGCCGCCAGTTTTCGAATGTAACACAGATCAAAAAAACTACCAAAGGCAAATGCCTTTATTCAAAACTTCCTTATTATGAAAATTTCTTAACTATTGGAGCATACTTTTTTAATTTGATTCAAGCCACGACAGCGAAGACATTTCATGCACAATTAGGTTCCAAATTTTTAATACTAAGTTCGTGGAACAGTTTCAAAAACCAAGATGGTATCAGTAGTTGGAGCGAACTCTAGTTGATTTGAGCCGCAAAATTAGGTTCCACAGGTTTCTTTAATCAAATTCGCAAAGAAATTTAAAATATGAGTAACAAGTTACAAAGTCGGAGCGAACGCTGAGCTTGATTTTAGTTTTTTCGTCTGACACTTGTCGATTTAGGCTCCTAGATGCGAAAAGTAATTTGAGAAAAGAAACGGTATCAATTGTTGGAGCAGATTCTGAGTTATAGGTTAGCCAAAAGGGGGCTATAAAAACTTAAAATTAAGGCTCCAAATTATTTACGATGAATTCCTGCAGCCTATTATTCTAACGGATTAAAGTCGTTAAACGCACTCAACGCAGTCTGTTTTCATGTATTAATGAACTCAATTTGAAGATCAAAGTTTCAGTTTCGTGGATCATTTTTCTTTTACGTATTTCTGTGTTACACCAAGTGACAGTCCAAAGATCTTCCTTCCACTTACATTAAGTAGTAAAGAAACTAGTTACCACACACTTTAAAACCAAATGCCTGGAAATTAAGTGATCCATTTTTGTTAATGCGATCTGATTCACAAGTTTTGAGAACTACCTAAAGATTTCGAAAGAAAGAACATTTTTTATATAAATCAGCAAACGGGTCAAAAGTACTAAATTTCGAAACGAGGACATAATTAACTTATTCATTTTCCATAAACTTTTCTTTGAATATAACTAAGTTGCATTTTTGGTTCGTGCTTCGGTTTCATAAAATCATCATGCTTTCTGTGAAATTTTCTATTCTGAAATGAGCAAACATATTTACAAATTCTTAAATTTCCTCGACATTCGTCATCACTGAGTATATGAAAGCACTGAACAGGAAAACATAACTGTTTTGACTTTGGTAAACTATCAAATTCTCTAATTTTACTTTATCTGTATTTCTCATTCCAGCTTTTGTCTGGAAAAATTAAGCGCGTTTTATCAAAATTTAAAATCGTGACGAGCAAATAATAATGTAATTTTCTTGTTCGCGTAAGACAATTTCAATCCCTCATAACAACGAATCTTCGCTAATATACCTACTGATTGCTTACTGGTCAAAAGATTGACTCGTTCGTTCACGTTGACTTTCGTCCAATCTGTAAACTATTTTTCAACGTTTTGCGAAAAAAGTCGCATCTTAATTCCTATAAAATAAACTCTTCTTCAAATACGAAAATCTGTATTTCTACTTCGTAAAAAGGAGCCAATTGAAACTGGTTTATATAAAGGTAGATTTCAACTTCATCAGTTTTCCGAAAGAGCTCGTGACCAGGCATTAGAGTTTTAAAGCATATATTACTTTGAATCGGAAACCGAACCCAGTTAATGGCACAAAGTAACGGGTATAACTAAGATGGCACTGTATTAAATTCTTTTTAGAAAACTACTTTTCCAAGGTCAATCTTTGAAGATTTTTCAAGTCGATGGTGTTCAGCAATGTGATTTTTGACGTAAAGAAAATTCGCCGCGAGAATGAATCAAACTCACCAAAAGATTTCAATTTTGGATTCCATTTGGTCTTCGTCCGAGAAAATTATTTTGTTAAAGTGCCACCTTAATTTCAACTTTTTGTGACATTAACTGGGATATAACTGTGATACTAACTGTTAAACAAACCAAAAATAATGAGCGATCAGAACTTTGAAATTAATATTTTGGTGTCATCATTCCGTAGCCAGGATTATATTAGTTTCAATTTTTTCTGTCTTAACTCGATGCAACTCGACATTGTCTGAGTTTGATTACACCAAATTATAGCTAGTAGTTCAAATATATGAAAACATCGCTCATGGTCTGCATAAGAATTCGTAACACAACAAACCATTCCAAAAATGGTGACTAATCGAAAGCTATTGACTCACCATGTAATCAGTTTTATCCATTCCAAGACAATTGACGAAAGAACGAAGACTTCGCACAATAATTAAACTTTATAGGAGCCACCATTTTCAATAGTATTACTGAGTAATTTCAAAGGTCTTATCTTTGCTGTGTCCACTAAAAATTCAGCGATTCAAGTGTCTTCTCTTGACCAGAATCCATCTTCTTCCATCCTTCTGAAAACATTACTCTTCCTGAAAGAAGAAAATATGAATGTGATCAGGGAATGCTTACTTTTCATGAGGACGAAAACAAAAAAAAATCCGGTTAAATTGTTTTGTTCTTTGACGCAATTATAGAAAAAGGGAAAGCATCCAAACGTTTTAAAATGTCGTTTACGAAGAGGCAAAAGCCACCGAGTAGAGGAGTCATTAGACCTCCACGTGGCAGTATTCAAAAACAAAATTATGGCCGAATAGATTTAGGGAGCAAAACATTTTAATTTTGAGCCTTCTGTAAAATATTTCACAATTACAGGTTTTGCTTTTCTCGAAGATAACACCATAAGCAAGTCTTATTTCGAGTCGATGAACCGCTTAGACCGAGCAAGCGATTCGTACGAGATAATACGACGCGTTTGTTTAGATTTCTGAAGAAGCTTGGGGCGATATTTTCGTAAGTAAATGCTCACCTGCTGTTCTAGTGACATGAGAGTGCTTTCGTTGCTCATAGCTTCTTTACAGGTCCAGTGTCGTCTTCTTTTCATAGTGTGATTGTGATTTTCGGTATAACGGAACAGCACGTCTTCACTCTACGAAGAACAGCAACTATTAATGAATATGAATTAACAACTGCAGCCAATAATCGGCTGTTACGTCACAGATTTGGGAGAGAGTTCTGTTTGCACGTTCAGCCTGCTAATCAAGTATTAAGCTTGATAAAAATTATTGTGAATGACGGTTTGGAATGTGACAAAAGAAAAAAATTCACAGCAACTGATTTTTTTTTGACTTGCGCGAATAAATGAATAATTTTTCGCTATCCTCTTACGAAGGGAGCGTAACAAAAAGAGCGCAAAGATAATAATGACGCAGTGTAATTTACCGGTGAAGGAAAAAACACGAAGGAATCAACGCATTAATACTCCCCCATGAAGGGAAAGCAAGCAAAATATATTAAAAGTGCTGTCATTCTATCACACAGGGAGATAGCAACATAGGTAAAGGTTTACTTCTTATTGACTA